TAGCGTACCCCCATTTTAATACTTTAAGTTACTGTTGATTTCAGAATATCTGAAAACATCAAGGAAACTTGGACCAATATGTTTTTTGCTTCTATCAAAATTTTTGATTTAAAGCATTAAAAAGTTTTCAACAATTCATTATTTTGCAATGTAGTACCTTTTTTCAAAGTGAAGCTTTTCAGGTTCTCTAAATACAAGGAACATCTAAATATAAAATCTAGAGAATGGGATATCTCAGTGTCTTGGCTCTGTGCATGGGATTTTCCATGTTTTTCAAGGCTGAAAGGCTTGTGCAGTGTTGCACTCTAGATGCTTAAAAAGTAAAGTTTCTAATCACTTCAGTAATTTGTACAGGTCCCTCTTTCTTCTTTTGTAATATATTTGTATAGTTAGCTTAGTTCCTTGGTAATGCCAGCGTATGATGAATGAGCTTAAAACACATTTTCAGTTAGTAATTACTTGGCAGAAATAACTTTCAGACAACAGAATTCCCATTGCAAATCTGTCCTGAACTGGCATTACAGAGTTAATGAATGTGCTGTGGAATTAGACTGCAGTATGTTTTTGTTATATTGATTTCAGGCTAAAAACTGTGTAGCTCTTTAAACAAATATATAATGATCATGAAAGAGGGACCTTAAGAAAAATAGCTGTCTTGCATGTTTTTGTTGAACTCTTGTTTTTCTAGATAATGCATTATTGACTACATGTTCAAGAGAACCTATTTTAAGAGTAGATTCAATCACTAGATTTTGTATAGTCAGTGCCCTTGGGTGAAAGGCAGCTAGAAATGATGCACAGTAGCTATAACCTTGCCAGGGGGTGGGAATTGTTTTTAAGTCTGTTCAGTTCTGTCCTTGCTACTATGCTGATAGCTATGTCAGGGGACTTGTATGTGAGGCAGGAGTGACATTGTCTTCCAAGACTCTTTCCTTCTTCCTTCCTACTAATGTTACAGTCGCTTGCTTAAAAGTCGTTTGTCAATTTTTTTCCCATTGCTCTGAATCTTTTTAGCTACTTTTTCATTTTAAGACCTTTTTAAAACCCTGAAAATCTTTCTCTTTCTTTCTCTCTCTTTGCAGCATGTCTCACCCCTCATAGGACGTTTTGTTCCTTTTGCTGCTGTAGCTGCTGCTAATTGCATCAATATACCATTAATGAGGCAAAGGTAAGAAAATAAAATGTGGCACATTGATTTAGAAGACATCTTTTGTTGCAATGTTTATAAATGAACGAATCCATGTAGCAGAACTTTTTAACTTGTAATATTTTTAAATGTTTAAGCTTACCTACAGCATTTTACTTCAAAGGACAATCTTATTTGTAACGTTTTGTCAGGCATAAAATAGGCTCTTTGTTATCTTCAAATAAATATCCCATTAGCCCGTCACTCTGAATATCCAGAAGTAAACTACCTGTCCTGCAGGACTTGATTATAGAGACTCCTTGGCCATTCATTAGGGCTGTGTGAAGCTTTGGTCCCTGATTAGATTCGGCCCGATTCAGTGGCCGAATCTCCAAATCTGAATTGACTCAGAGGATCCTTTAATCTCTCCAAATCAAACTGGAACCCTCTGAATTGATTCAAAAAGATTTGGCAATTCAGACATAGACACAGCTTTAAGTGGTTTTTTTTTTTTCTATGTACCTCTAGGTAGCAGGCAGCTCGTGAATGCTGCGATGCT